GAGAGAGAAGGGGTGGGAGGGAGGAACTCGTACCACAGGAGCAGTAGCGCGACAATGCGAATGGAGGCAAGTAGGTGGGTACCATTTGTTCTAAATTACCCACGATGCCTTTTTCAGTCGATCTCTGTACGGGCTGAGGCTATCGCCGGTGTCGTCACGCGCGGTTCCCACTCACGCGCGCTGGCGCCGTCCTACAGGCTATTGCCTTGCATTTGAATAGATAGGATATGGTAGACGGAGAGGTCACCTGCCGGCTGGGGCTGGGCTAGAGCACCACTATGTGCTGCTAGACCAGCGGAAGTTCATCACAACGAGCGTTTTTCTCGGTTTTCCTGGAAGCGAACAAAGTTTGTATGATCCATTCGACAATTTACGGGGTCTCGGCGCCTGCGAGCTCCGGGGTAGGCCGCTCCGCAGTACACACGTGCACTGTAGGCAAGATGTTGCCTACCCATCAGGCGCTATAAACGTTTTCATAGGCTAAACTGGCTGAACTTTGCAAATTCGTGACGACTGATGACCCCTTTTCCTGGGTATTACATGTTCACCATCGTTTATTTAGGGTATTGAAATCAAAGGTTGTGGTCACATCGTGGCCACGACGCTGCGAATCGCCAGATTCAGGACTCTGTCGCGTTTTCTGGACTTCTGGACTCTGGTCCTGGAGTGGGGCGCTTTCCCTGTCACCACTATGCGTGCCGCCGTGACCCACAATCGTGCACAACGCTCCGCTAAACGAAACAAATAGTGCAGTAACGATGCAAAAGCAAGGCCGGGGTGTCACCGGCCGCCGCGCAGCCCCAAGGCACAGCTAATCAGCAGCCAATCGGCCACTAGCCGACAGCTGTACGACGACAGCTAGAGCCGTTCGACAGCCCGCTGGGCAGCACCATCAGGACCTGCGCCGCCACCAGCGGGGCGCGGCGGGCGCGACCTTCACCCCCGGCGCTCGCGGAGACTTCGAGGGGGGGACAGAGATCAGCGCGGCGCCGCGGCAGGGCTATTAGAGAACGAGACCGGTCGTGCGGAGCCTTTCTCACGTCCCGGCGCGTTCGTACGTGTGGTCGCGGAGCCCAGCGGAGGATAGCCAGCGATAGACGCGCGCCGAGAGCGAGGCGAGGGTCAGCGACCAAAATCGGGGCGAATTAAAGAGCCACCCGGGCCGCGGCGTCGACGGCAGAGCTGTCATCAAATCTGATTAAAACACGCAGCCAGGCTGGCCAGGCTGACCACGGCCTGACGTGCGCGCTCAACGCTCAACAGCACCGGCACCCCGCCACGCCTCGCCACGCCTCGCCACGCCCGACGCTGTCACGGTCAAGGCTGCGGCACCTGGGCCTAGCCGGCCCGGCCGCTGCCAGCGCATACCCGGCCGGACCCGCGGACCGGCCGCGAACCCGAACCCGCAGATCTGGTGGCGCTGGTGGGCGCCCCCTCTCCCGAGCGGCTTACTCACACGACGGGACGGCGCCCCCGCGCGAGCCGCCCCCGCAGCCCGGGGAACACGTCGCCGACCTCGGCGCCCAAACATCGCTAATGAACGGAGTCTCATTGCGCAATGAGAGGGAGACGGGCGGATGCAACAGTAATTGAAGGGAACGATGGGGATGAACCCGCGCAGTAAATGCAAAACAAAAACGAACTCGGACCGCTTTAACTCCTTGTTCCGCAAAACTGTTTTGAACCACATGGCTCAATGAACGCAGCCAGGTACATCAAGGAAACGAACCGGTAACGTTACGGAAGCTGACAGTGAAAGCAAAGAAGCGCGTCTCGCTGTGAACGAGAATGCAGTTCCCCCGGGGGAAGCGCGACGTGACCTGGAGGTTGCCGTGCTCGCACGCGTACGTGAGTGCGTGAGGGCGTTCTCTAACTGGGCGGGGCGGGGCGAGGTGGGGCGAGGTAGGCACGCCCGCTCACCACGCCGCCCGGGCGGGTTGCCTACCTCGGCGTGCTCAGGCGGCTGTCGGGCAGCGGGTGGATGGAAGACATCAACACAACACTTAATGTTCCTGCCATAACTCAAACATGTATCTGAGCGTACTTACTCGCACATGAAATCAGATAAGATGCCTTTTGTCAGATAAATATATTCACTCTTCCGGCGGACTATGACTAATAATAAAAATATAGAGGGTCACCCGCGAGGACCGATTGCGACACTAGTACATCCCCAGCTATAAAAGTAGTAGAGATGCTAGAGACAGACAAGAGAGCGCGCCGCCCCATCCTCTCCCCCTACCGCCTGCAGCCGC